TACAATGCAGGGTACAACTAACATCCTTTCAACTTAACCTGAACTAAACATTCTTTATAAGTATTATTTCATTACTAAGCAATACTATAATGCTTATAACCATTTTTCCAAGCTGTTTTCATGTTTATACTATATTATCATATGACTACACTTTTATCCAAATTAATGAGATCTAAAAGTCCTTAATATGTCTTAGTTTAAAACTAGACGAGGCTATAATCATTAGAATCAATCTTCGCTACTAACCTTATTCAAACAACACTGTCAAAATTCAATGTATATATTCGACACAGAATATTAGGTATTTAATATGCATTACTATTTTTAAGTAATAACCATGTCTGGTTCAAAGAATGCATTTTATCAAATTTTTGTTTAACACATATTCCAGATAATAAGCAATTTTAATTCACGTATAAATTTCAACATATATTTAATACTTTTAATAAATAGTTGTATTAAAATAATGTTCATGAAAGTAACTAAGAACTCACATTATATAATTGGAAGACTCGCGGGAAGACCGACACTTCAGATTTCCCTTTAAAACGACCTAAACGCGAATATTACTAAGCCTTAGTATTCATTTGTATATATAAGGTTTCATCGTTATAATGTCTTTCTCATATTTATCAATAGTCCCAAAAGAATATTGGATTAATTCTGATAAGAAACGACCAGGTAAGACCGTATCGGAAGTATGATCTGTTTGGCATATAAAGATATATTGTTTGGAAAAACCACTTTAAACCCTCGCAAAATATAGGCTTGGTATCATTACCAAATGTAGATCGGTCAATATAACGACTAGTATTATTGATAAATCTTATTTATAAGTTCATAATAATGATTATAAACATAAATATACGTTGTACTTAAAGCATAATAAGTGCAACTTAACTTACCAGATTTTCTAACAGAAGTTCAGAAAGCTTGCGGGTAGAACTTCAAATTTGAAAACTTTTTTTTGTCGGATCTCTGACGACTCAGATCTTAGCTAAAATACCCTAAAATTAGAAGTAATCAGACAAGAAAGAAAGAAGAACTCCCGAGAGAGTTTGAATAATTTTAAACAAGAAATAAAGAAAATGTTTCTAGTATTTTTTGTCTGTATCTTGCTCGTACGAGCTCCATTATTAATGTTCTTTATATCACTGACTTACTACAACTTTCATTTAGAATTCTTTGGCTAATTCTCATTATATCTTAAATTTACAAATTTGTATCGAATTAGTTGCGTCTGAAGAGTAGGGACCAAGTTTCGTCTATATATTTTGAATACGAGTTCCATTTTCAACATTCCTTATATCTATGGCTTCGTACCAACGAGTACTAAAACTCTCATTTAGACTCCATTAGCTATATCTCAGTCAATATCAAATTTATAAATTTGTATTGATTTCACCACATCTGAAGAGTAGGGACAAAGTTTCATCCATATTTTTCGCATGCAAGCTCCATTCTCCATGTTTTCTATGTCGATAGATTCCTATTTTCATAAACATCAACTTTCGTTTGTATAGTTTTGTCTAACAAGTGACCAATCTATATTTTGTACTCTATGACACATACTATTGTATCGTGTCATTACGAAAAATTATAACTTACTCATATGAAATCAGATTTAGGCGTTCTTGTTATGAATGATCTCGTATTTCCGAGGTGTAACATCCGGATGTCAATTTAATTTCAATATCGATCCTATGTTTGAATAATATTGTAATTTAGCCCTTGGAAAGGGAAAAGATTGCATGAATGTCCCTTAGTGGCATTATGGTAAAAAAAATTAGGCTTGGGTTAGTACGTTGGGCATACGAAGCATATGCTGAGCATACCAGGGCGGACCCTAGTACGTTGGGTGTACACCTCGTACACATGGCATACACATAGGATGCCCAAACCCTAATTTTTAGGGTTTTGGCCCTATATAAACGTCACTATAACCTCATGGCCCTTTCTTACTTCAGCCTCCCTATATGTGAATGACCCTTAAGCAAACTCTAAGTGAAAGAGTGCCTTTTTGGAGCCTATTGGAGTGTTTAGAAGAGTCCTTGAAGGAGAAGAGTGTAGAGTGAAGAGCTTAAAATTGGGAAGTACCTTGGATCTGTGATTTCTATCTTGATAACAACCTCCAAAAGGTAAAAAGCTTGTAACTTTACCATTTCATCTTGTAGATCTAAGAATTTCATCCCTTTAAGACACTTTTTGGTCCCTAAGATGGTGATTCTTGAGCACGATATGTTCTTGACTCATTAAGTCGTCCTTTCAGACCTTGCAGGGTCTTAAGTCATAAAGGCATGGTCTTGATGGTTGGTTTTGCTCGATGCATGTCACTGGAGGTCTTAAAGCATTACGAGGTTGAGATTTTGTGGATTAAGCACTTTATGGACATGCAAAGTCATAAAGTTTGAGACTTGATGACTCTTAGTAGTATTCTAGGCTTGGATCTAAAAGTTGGACGTGAGAGCTTAATGCATTAAGCTCTTAATGTAGTTTTGGGAAGTCTGGGCATACACCCTGTGTAACCCTGAGTATGCAGCACGTACGCGGTCAACCACCCCTTCTACGGTCAAGCTGAAGTACACCCCGCGTACGAAGCATGAGTCGACTCGGATGTGTTACCTCTTTGGACATGTTAATTTTGACCAATTTTGACTAAGGGTAATTTAGGACATTGTCATTATTTTATTGATGGGACATGTTTGGACATTCAGGACTTGGGTGGAGCAGGTATTCGGGATCAGAGTAGTTATCAATATTTCGACAAGCTATAAGGTGAGTTTTCCTCACTATACTTACGGGTCGAAGGCACCAAGGCCGGCCCATTGGATTAATGTCATGGTTCATCGTATGTTGCTACGTTGTAGTGATCTGTTAGATTTGTATATTGGTATATAGGATGCTAGCATGTGCTAGTGATCTGTACATCTGCATGTTTGTATGTTTATTGGTTATATGTTTATTTGTTATGTTGTATATGTCGACATGTTATGTATGGTTGGGTTGAGGCGGTCCTACTTTGTGCTGAAGGCCAAGATATCCAGGACGACCCAGATAGAGTGTAGACCCTGCGAGGCGTTCCAGTCAGGCTGAAGGCCCGGCGAGTGGTCTGGACAGGTTGTAGGCCCTGTGAGGCGGTCCGGTCATGTCGAAGGCTCGTGAGCGATCCAAATAGGTTGTAGGCCCTACGATGCAGTCTAGTCATGCTGAAGGCTCATTTATGCATGTTGTTTGTTATGTTTGTGGTGGTGATACATAGGACTAAACATCTATAGGGGTTTAGATGGTCTTAGTATTTGTCAAAAAGACATTTTTTTGAAAGAGCAATCTATCCTATTCCTAATCTAATCCTAAACACTACATATGTCTCTTAATGAGACTTGAACCCATGACCGCTCATTTGAGAGAGTTACTCTTTATCGCTAGGTTAAAGGCCATTTGGTTTGTCAAAAAGACATGTCATGTGTAAATATGAGTAAAGACTATAAAGATGCTATGACTCGAACAAGTATCGTTTGAAATATGTTTGTTGTTGCATCATGTTAGTGATACAATAATTGCATGTGTTTGTATGAGTTATAGATTTGGCTTAAGATTGTTTAGTAAGAATTTAAACCAGATGAATTAATTTATTATTTATTGAAGTATAAATAAGTAATTAGAAATTAATAAGTTGATTTATTATTTAAAATGTTAATAAATATTTATTAATCAATAAGTGAGATTAATTAATTATACTAGAAAATTATATCAATTGTTTATAATTAATGGATAATAATATAATATATAAATTATATAATTAAAAGATAATTCTTAAATTCAAATAAGGTATCTTCTAAATTTAAATAAGGAATTTTTTGAATTTCATCTCCTATATAAAGAGGTAGGGTTAAAGAAAATTATAAAACTTTGGAACCCTCAAAGTCGTCCTCCTTCTCGACGATTTTGTTAGGGTTTCCAAATAGAAGGTTTCTTGTTTGCTAAGAGGTACAATGCTCATGTTCTACTTTGAACTCTAGTCACTATTTATCAAAACACTTTGAACTCTAGTCACTATTTATCAAAATCGAAAGGTAAAATCTTTTCTTGTAAGTTATGTTTTGTTGTTAATAATACATGAACAATATAATCGGCTTACCATAGTGTTTTTTAATTTGCTTAAGCCTTAAGCCGTTTGTTTTGGTTTTCGATAAATAAAAAATCACACTTTATTCAATATATACTATTTTTTTTTTAATTCGATAGAATAAATACAAAAAGCCGCCGACTTTCAAAACTTGCAACCCACACACTCTCCCTCCCCCCTTAATCTCCTCCTCGAAATATAACCGTTTGCTCTACTGCTTCCCCCAAACCCTAGTAAGAATTTCGGTTGATTTCCTCTGTTTTTAAGTGATTTATGTATCTTCGTTTCAAGTATCTTTTTAGTCTTGCCGAATCTTCATGGATTTCTTGTTTAATCTTTTTCATTGTTCATGTACCCATTTGATGAATAGTAGAATACACCTTTTAAAAACTTGCGTTTTCATGTTCGGATAGATACTTAACAATGGCTTGTGGTCAGAGTTTTGCTCCATTGTTGCGTGCATCGGAATCGAAATCCGTACGCTGACGGAAGCTAGAAAAAACTTAAAAGTCACTTTATTTTTGTGTATAATTCCACTTTTTCTTGCCTAATTAGAGATTTTAAGAGCATTTATGATGAGTGTAATTGCGTAAATCGTATTTAAGATTTAAATTAATTAGTTTATCTATGAGAGCCAGCGTTTACATCTTCGTATAATGATTACCAACGGCTGTATTGATTAAATTTTACCCTCTTAATCGTGTTTTAGGTTGTTAGTATATGTAGAGTTGCAGACATAGGATTTATTTCTTCGTTATTTGAAGTTTAAACGCAATCTTTTTCTAAAAATATCGATTACTCATTACAGAATCTTCTTTCCGTTCAATTTTCTTTTTTTATGAACTTAGCCTCAAACTGAAGCTTCAACCTAAAAATGGTGTTCCCGGAGAAGATATCTCAGCCTGTCATATCCACAAAACGGCCGTTGGGTGATTCTGATGACTGTAAACTTGATGAATTCAGAAAACCTAAAATGGTGATGCGAAAGTATCCCCCTCATAAGATCAGAGGAGCAGAAGCAGTCCGTGATTTCCCTCCTGATTGTGGAATCTTTCTCGATTCTCTTGTGACTAAAGTAGAGAAGAATCCATTGAAGAAATTAGATAATGTTGAATCAAATATTGAGAACGTGACCTCCCATGGCAAGGATAAGATGGTGAAATCTCAGCCTTTTGAAGATAATAAACTCAATAACTGCCTTAAACCTGAAGGATTAGGGTTCAAGAAACCTTCTTTTGGCTCAAGACCTAAAATGAAATTTGGGAATCCCAAGGAACAACATCCTGTTTGTGGAATCATACAAGAAAGGAAGCCTTTCAAGAAATTAGACAATGTTGACTCAAAGTCAATGGAATGTTGTCATCCTTTGGAGAATACCAAACTCAATAGCTTCAAACATAAAGAATCAGGGATCAGCAAACCTTTTGGTTCAAGGTCAACCGGTAAAGTCAAATTTTGGGATCCTAGGATCCCATCTTCAAATGACGATAATGCCCCGAAAGTAAAAGACACCAACTTTATCGGATCACGAAATGAACAAATTAGACGTGAAAAGATCCGTGAGACAATGATCTTGTTTGAAACAATTTACACTCAGTTATTACAAGACAACGGATCAAAACAAAAGGGAGAAAAGAGAGCTATTTGGATACTACCCATGGAGGCTGCAAAGATAGTCAAACAAAAGCTAAAATGGATGAATGTTGACAAGACATTTGGTGAAATCCTCGGTGTCCAACCTGGTGACATGTTCAGATTTAGGTCACAACTTCATATAGTAGGTCTTCATTGTCAACCACATTGTGGTATAGATTACACCAGCATTAATGAGAAGAATCTTGCTATAAGTATAGTTAACTCTCATCGTTACTCAAACAAAAGTCAATCGTGTGATGTGCTTACTTATTGTGGTGAAGGTGGTGGGGCCGGGTGCTTTGGGTATAAGCCACAGGTGCCACCCGATGATCAAAAACTTGAAAGAGGTAATCTTGCTTTGAAGAACAGTATGATTGAGAAAAATCATGTTAGGGTGATTAGGAAAGTTTTTGGAGTTGGAAACAACAACAATGTGTTTGTGTATGATGGATTGTACACTGTGGAGCATTGTACACAAAAAAGAAGTTCAGAAGGGAAGATGGTGTTCATGTTTGAATTGCATAGAGTGCCTGGCCAACCGAATTTTCAGCAAAGGGTCAATGCTATACCAGGTAATTTCGTTTTATACCATCATACCACCTTTCAAATGCTTTAGTGATTAACTATATATAGTTAGTTATACTTATATGTCGTTTTTTGAACTATGGTTGGTATTTTATATTTGTTCTTGAGAGTCTCTTAGCTGTAATTTTGACCTAATTTCGACTTAGTGTTTTTCTTCGCTTTTTTTGAATCTATGTAAAACTTGGTTTAATTATATTTCCTTATTAAGCAAGACTTTTAGATCTATTTTAAATTGTTAAGTTGTAGATATTGATTCCTTTTGACCCACGCTAGACAGACAGATCAAGCATGGTTTCCCTATATGAGATTCCCTTAAGTTTGCGTCGTGGGCTAAGTTTTCATGTGGTTCTATGTTTGGCCTTATTTGCATTTTAGTCAACCAATTAGTATTTATATCCCTTTAAATTTGTGTAACCAAAGGTTGAGCATCCGAACCGGTAGACCAGACTAGACTCTGGTACCTTTGTGTCGTCGTGGACTCCATTTTTTACCGGTTCCAGTTTTCAGATAGGAATATTAAGAGGCGTAATCTTTTTCAAATCTTTTATCCTAATCTATGTGATATTGTTTTCATCGGTTGTCCCCTCTAATTTCGTCCCTGAGATGTGACATGAGATGAGATAAGACAAGACAAGATAGCATATCCAAGTTGAAAGGTTGTCAACTTTTCCGCATATCCAGTAACCTGTGAAGGTTGAGATGTGTAGTGTAGTGTTTATATTATGCGGTGAACATTTGGATCAAACGGGACTAGACTGGATCGGACCTGAGCGGTTTGACAGAATTGGTGGACCTTGGACCTACCGAGGTTTATCGAGTCCAGGTCTTGAGTCTGAGTTTTCCGGTTCATGCACCCGTTAGACCGATACAACGTTAGGTCATACAATACAACTCATTGAAACCCTACCGAAAGTTAGTTTATCTATTACGAGGCTTAAAACGAATACAAACCCAAAAACAAGAAAATTATTGTCTAAAAATTAGTGGAAAAACTTAAATACTCAAGCTTTGATATCCTAACTTTGGGGAATTGTAGGTCATTGAATATAAAACCAAAAATGACAAAGTTATATTATAAAATTATGTACAAACTTTAAACTAGATGTTGCAAAAAAGTCTAAAAAATTACTGAAAAGCTGAAAAATTCTAGCTTTTATATCCTAACTTCGTCAGACTTTAAGTCAAAGTCTTTGAATATAAAACAAAAAAACGACGAAATTATAATCTAAAATATGCACAAACATTACAGTAAACGCTGTAAAAAATTGTATGCTAATCTGACTTCAAATGAATGAGATATGTAGAAAAGATTTGCTAAAGATTTCTTTTATTAATTCGGTCCAAATCGGTTTTTTACCCAGGACCGGCTGATTTTGTACCCGGGCCGATTTTGCTTGATTCATAGAACCGAGAACCGACTCTATTCTAAAAAACCGATCCAGAGATCCAAATGCTCACCCCTTAGTTTGTATATTCTTTTAGGCTGTAATTCCATCGTTTTTGGTTGCATATTCATTAAGTTGCAGTCCCCTAAAGATGGGGTATCAAAGTTGAAAGGTTTTCAACTTTTCTATATATTGTGTAATATGTGAAATTCTTTAAATTGTCTTAACTCATCACTTTTAAGTATCATATCTTTCCCGACGTGTAGCTGAATGTTTGTAATTTCACATTTTTTTGGTTAAATATTCATTAGGTTACAATCCCCCGAAGACGGGATATCAAAGTTATTATTATTATTATTATTATTATTATTATTATTATTATTATTATTATTATTATTATTTTGCATTTATGCATGATGTATATGCAACGTCCGAAAAATACAACCCAAAAATTTTTGTTTTAATATTACTAAAAACCACAACATCAAATGTTATATAATAAAACAATGTATCTTATGTCTCAAAATGTCATAATAAATGTATCAATTCAAAACTGAAGTCCGGAAACTGAATCAGACCGAAGTTCGGAACTAACCAGAGTCTAGCCCTCTGCATCGGACCGGAGTCTGGAAACTACATCGGACCGAAGTCCGGAACTAACCAGGGCCTTACGCTATGCATCGGACCGAACTCTGGAAACTACATCAGACCGAAGTCCGGAAACTGACTGAACATAACATAGCATAACCATAATTACTAGCATAAACACATATACTGCATACTGCATCGGATCGAAGTCTGGAACACATAACACAAAGACATGCTTGAATCACAAAGACATCAAGCACACTGAACTACTGCATCGGACCGAAGTCTAGAACTACTGTTAAATAAACGGACCGACATCGTGGTCGTAGACCTATTCCTACTGGAAGGAAACTCACCTCATAATGCTGGCTGCTGAGATGCTAACTTTGAAGCTGGCTGACTGCTGCTCTGGAACTCCCCGGCTACAATCCCATAAACACTAAATCAGATACTGATAATTGTTCTTAGGATAAAATGACTATTTTACCCCCGGTCAAAGTCAACTTTCAGTTGACTAGAGTCGTCGAGTCAGGGCATAGACTCACTGAGTCCCTCCAATACTAGATCTGAACTCTAACTCACCGAGTCCATTCCCACTCACTGATTCACCCTAAACACTCAAACAAGGAAAAACCGGGGACTTGCGACTCGACTCGTCGAGTCTGAAGAACAACTCGCCGAGTCCCAAACATGCCATTACTATACAGTCGATTTTGCTTGATTCCAGTGCATCCAATTCATAGATCTGGGTTCCTAGGATTGATTTCACACGTAAAGTTTCTAACTTTACATGCATGCATGCTCATAAGAAGCTCAAATGCCCAATAAAGAGCTAAAAGAGGACATCTAGGTTTGGAATGGGAGTTTAGCTCAATAAAGGTGGCAACCTTGAGCTTAAGGAGTTCTGAAAGGCTTAGATTTGAAACCCATTCATCTTAACTACTCTTAAATTGACATCAATGTCTAGAAAATGGCTCAAAAACAACACTAGCAAGCTTTTAAAGAGATCTACATGATGACAAGCAAAGATTCGAGCTTTATACCTCAATGAAAACTGGAATGACACAAGAAACTCAGATCTTCTTTGCTCCTCTTGAAAACCCTTCCTCTCTCTTCTTCTTCTAACTCCAAAATGCCCCAAAATCCTTCACAAGATGAGAAATACTCCAAGAATGCTTAAAGGAAGGCTAGGGTTTAGTAAGGGACGTTCTGAGGGTGATGGAGGCTGGTTTGGGGCGCATAATGTTGTTTAAATATGGTGTAAACCCTTGAAATTAGGGTTTCATCCAGACTGCTAGACTCGCCGAGTCCAAAAAATATGGACTCGTCGAGTAGCCAACTTAAACCGCGTGCAAATTCCGTCTCTAGTCAATGAGTTGGGCTACAGACTCGTCGAGTACCCCCTTTAAGAATTGAAAATTATTTTATTTAAATCAGATACCAGAAATGGGGTGTGACCGGATAATTTGTGTAGTTCTTTAAATTTTCATAACTCACGTTTATCTTTCCGAACATGTAGTTTAGTGTGTGTATTTTACTTTATTATGTAATTTCATGTTTTTTGTTTCATATTTATCGAGTTTATATATATATATATATATATATATATATATATATATATATATATATATATATATATATATATATATATATATATTGAATGAAAAATCTAACCTTACTCATAATTTACTTCTAATTTCATTTATGTGCCAGACGACACTTGAACTCTAGACCTCAAGGAGGAAGAGCAGTACAACATGATACTGTTGAGTTATAAGCTATTTGGTTACATATTTATTGAGTTAATGTCCCTCGAAGTGTCGTTGAGTTATAAGCTCTTTGGTTACATATTCATTGAGTTAATGTCCCTCGAAGAGGGGGTATCAAATAACTCATCTAAACCATTGGATAAAAACTACTTCATCGACTTGTACCATACACATCACATATCGATCCAAGAACCTAAAACCTGCTCACCTCTATAGTCTAACCTAATGTATCAAAAAAGCTATTCGATAGAAGCAATAAATATCTCTCGCTCATGTTCGCATGTGGACTAACTGATCGTATGAACCTTATAGTTAACTTTTTTTTTTCGTTTTGCATTATTACTTTGTGTGAAATCGTCATCGTGTGTTGAAATGCTTAAACTCTAACTTAGAGCTGACAAAACTCGACCCAACCCACCAACCCAAGCTAAACCCAACCCAAAATTAGCAGGTTGGTGTAACACCCATAAAAAAATAATGCAAAATTAAAATTTTTTAAAACATTTAAAAACCAACAGTCATTACAAACTTGTTTTCAAAATAGTTTATATCAAAGTCTTCCAGAAACAAAGTCATAAAAAGTGAGGATCAATAAAATGACGCCTTTGCTTTGTCGCGATCCCCTGATGTACCTGAAACAACAAACGGAAACTGTAAGCCCAAGAGCTTAGTGAGTTCCCCCAAAATACCCATACACACAAAACTACACATATAATCATAAACAGCATACTATGAGTACAATCAACCATCCGGTTGGAATGCCAACATACTACGGGTCCAATCATCTTCGGTATTGAATACCCCAGGCCCACAACCAACAGGTTGGAATGCCCACATACTATGAGTCCAGTCAACTATCAGGTTGGAATACTCATGGCTCACAACCAACAGGTTGGAATGCCCAGGTCTATTGGCTTTCGCATAAAGTAGATAAGCATCAACCGCCAAACAAACATGTGCACATATAACAGAAAATCACATAACAATCTATAGACAAACAAATCGATCTAACGGATCATATCACATAACACACAAAACTATCATATCTACCAGGATACCGATTTAACATATTATATTAGCATAACATATCCAGATAACATTCCAAAGGTTCGGCCTTGGTGCCTTAGACCCTTGAGTATATATAGTGAGGATAACGTACCTTGCAAGTAGTGTCGAAGTGTAACGCTCGAGTTTCGGGGCTAAGCATTTTTAGACGATGTAATAGTCTAGGTCAACTATTGTAACTTTTTTTGAAGTAATAAAAAAGAATTTTTTGAATACTATGTGAA